AAGTTGGGAGATCATGTACTCTCGAGTACTCTCGAGTGATATTAGAAATAGTGGTGAAAAGAAACTTTGAATTGTGATCGTAATATTGCCTCACGGTGTTTATTAATTCAAATATACAAGGAAGTTTGTAGCTGAAGCGATGTCTAAGTTCGAATTCTCTCTTTCCAATATCGATTTATTTTCAAAGGGATGCTTCCATTGGTTCCTTTCCTACTTCGCTCTATCTTTGTTTCATGTGGCTATGGGTACATGCCTATAAATATGATCATATTCTTCATAATCAAAACTTGGATGGATCTAGGGTAATTGCTAGGCATCATCCAAAGAATTAAATCATGAGGCATGCAATTGGTTCCATTGATGTGGGGCCAGTTTTAATGCATGACACGTGCAGGTGAAATGAAGGGCCTGATGAAGGCAGGGTGTCACATCTGGGGCAGGCATTAGTCCGTGGAATCATAATGGTCTTTGATCCCAATGGGGAAAAAGAGTGTTCAATTGTCTTCACACATGCAGCATTGCCTCACTTGTTAATGCATGTGACAATTACTCCCGCCAATTGCCAATTGCATATGCTATGGTGAATTTTATGCCCAATCCCATTTTCCATGAAGCAGAAAACTTTGAACACTTAAGTTGGCAAACATGAATGCAATTTGGTAAGTTTATTAATTGGGACTGGGAAGAAGTCTTTACCCTAGCTAGGCGGTGCTCCGCATTGATCAATCTTTCGTGGGCGTGTGATGCTAATACACAATTGTTAATGAGTACAAAACTGCAGAATAACTTCATGGCTCTTCTCTTTTTATTTCTCTTATTACGTGATAGGTTAAGTATTGAGAGAAATAAAAAGAAAATAACACTGAAACGGGGGGTAGGGAAATACTTTTCCTGATCTAAATGACTCCATAGGCCATATGCATGATTCATTGGTCACCTTTTCCTCCTTCTACTAGTTATGCGCAATTGGAGGGTTAGGTGTCGGTCACATTTGCTATCAAAGACTGAAATATGAATGCAGCCTGCAAACAAGTATAAAAAGGAAAGGACCCATTTGCTTTCAGTCTTCAATGAGGTTGTGCCCCTTAAAGTGGGTTAGTCTAATCAGCAACTCCAATATCCCCAATGACACGTTACATCTCCTTGCGGAATATCAATACTTACTTACATGTCCCCATATGTAGTCTCATTATTTTCATTTCACCCATCATTTAGTTATCACAAAGCCAATTCTCCAGATAAATTCTTACCACTTTAGTTTATGTAGGCCTTCTTGTTGTTTCTATATCTTCTCGTCTTAAAATGCTGCACAATTGTGCTATTTTTCGAATCAACTAACTCTTAGTTCATTAATAGTTATCTTTATGTTATGAGACGTTTGAAATTTGAAATTATTATTTTTAGTCGATAATTTTATATATATTGTTTTCTAATTATTTTGGAAGCAGTCCTACAAATTTGCTATCAATCTGACACTTGTTGGACTGGAGGAAGAGGGTAACAAGGAACGTGAATAACGCTAATTAAGTTAAATTAGAAGACATGATAAAGGAATAAAGATAATGGCTTGGACAGGATAGATGTTTGCCCATATGACAAGACAATCATCCTACCAGGCATTATGTGGTATCTAACGTGAAATGGCTGAGTAAATGTCCACATACAATCTCCCAATTGAGTTAGGCAAAATGAGAGCTTGAAAGTATGTGTATACGTGTGTGTGAGGTGGGGTGGGTGATCTCGTCATCACCTCTGTGTGGTTGAAAACTTATTGTCTTTTCAATTCCTTTTCAATTTCCAACAATTGAAAATTAATAGTTCATTTGTAGTTCACGTGATTAAACGTTAGCGTTGAATTTCTTTGCATCGCGAGGCCTTGCGTTTAATTTCCATCTCCTGCAATATCTCTTGTACTAAACGCAAGAATTAAATATTGAAACTGAAAAAATAAAATAAAAATGAAGATATGTACTAACTAGATCTGGAAATGCTAATATAGCACTCCATTATTGTTGAGGAGTTGTTGGGTTCCACCAACAACAGTTTGAAGATTGTAATCTTAAACTAGGAAGGAGAGACTATAAAAGCAAAATGTCTTACTAGCTGAAAAATCAATGACGTTGCCCAAAAAAGGGACCCCAATTATTCCACTTCAGGTGGGATTGTCCCCTAGGAAGTTGCTTAGTCTAATCAAGACCTCCAAATATCACCAAAACATGCATGTATTTGCTTATTGCCAACCTCACATTTCTGAGCTGCTATAGCTTAGCCTAATGCTGATGGGATATATCCTTCATTCCTTTGCACTCCATAAGCTTTCCCCTTGGTACATACATAGCTATACCTAGCTAGCTAGGACTTAGATTCATATATATCTGGTGTGAAACCAACCATGATGAATTTGGACTTCATCAAATCAAATTCCTAATTCTTTAGACTTTTTAGAAACCCTAAACTGTATGTTAATTGGGCCAATGGAGGATATGTGGGGATCTCTAACTTATGCTTTAGAATTGGACAGTCAACATAAACTCTAGGCCGATGAAGTTTCTATTACCGCATTTCAATATGAGCCCAAAGGGCAGGGCCAGAGTAGAGTTATTATTATCAGGTTTTTTTCTTTCTTTCCAGAACAAGCATAATTTCATTAATAAAGATGTAAATACAAGAGATGTACAAGAAGAAGACACCTCAAATGGAGGTTCTTGCATGCAATAAATTCGGACTATTACAAATTCAAGCCCAGCTCACTCAGAGTTGACAGATAAAGGATCAAGAAGACTCTTTACAGCACCAGTGCTATACAGAATAACAAAATATTAATTCCCTATTTTTTATTTTGTTCTATTTCCTCTAAGGACCTAGGTTAAAAAAATTAATCCAACTCTACAGTCTGACCTTTCAACCCCATCTAAATCATGCAAGTCCAACAGTTTCAAAATTTCATATAGGTAAGAATATAGCTGTTCACCCGTTTTGCTTTTGCTCCTGTGATGGAAGGGTAAAGTTCCCCACTGCCTTAGAAACTATTGACTGGTCACAAGTCAGCTTTCTTTGGTGTGTGTGAGCGTGCCACTGCTAGCAATAAAAATCCTAGCAGACTTTCTTAAAAATGGATAACTTGTGCCCCAAGTTACTGATTTCTAAACAAGTGATTGTGAATTTGGGTGAGGAATATCTCCCAAGTAAGTTCTTTTCTTGCCTTAGACTGGTGATGATTTCACAATTTTATCACAATACAAGATTGATAGTTTTGACCATAATAAATGATAATAAAGAGGACTGTTTTTAGGCAGCTGCCCTTTACAAAATTTGGAAGGAAAAAATCAACTCTGGAAAAACAAAAAGAAGGTTGGAATTCCATTTCTGCCTGGATAGAAGTCTCTGATCTGGGCTGAACTGGGTGTGTCTGTGCTGGACTGAACTGTCAACAACTTCAACTGCTAAGCGTCAACTGTAAATCGATACCAAAGTTCAATTTTGGCAGAGCTTTAATCTATTTCGAGTCCTGGAAGTTTTTTTGAGTAGGCAGAATTGCGATCTCTTCTGGCTGAAAGAGGCAGAAGTGGCTGGATTTGAGGTTTACTGAGCTGGAACTGCACTATTGTACCTGTTCTGTTTGGTCAGGGCTCTCCATAAATTTGTTGAGGTTTTCATATTTGTGAAAACTCAAACTCTGCTTGTTTTGGCTTTTACTGAACCAAATTTGTAATGAGAAAAGTCTTGTTTTGAATGACTTTTCTCTAAGTCTGAGCTTGGAAATTCTAAGAGAGAGAGAGAGCTTTTGATTGCTCCAGTTTGTTTGAAGGTTCTCAGTGATCAAGTGATCATTTTGAGTTTTTGCCTTTGGCTGATTTTTGGTTGTTTGTTTGATTGATGAATTCGGTTGTGTGTTGCATGTCATTTGCTTTGTTCACCATTTCCTATATTTACGAGAAATGTTTTTTTAGTAGAGTTTTCTGATTTAAAATAAGCGGCAGATTTTCTAAAAAGATCTTTCATTTTTTTTTTTTTTTTGGTCTGAACCACGAGGTGGTCCTAGATGGGCTCCAACTATGGATGGCACCTTTAAGCCTTAACCACAACTCAGACTAATCCCCGTTCACACCGGGTCGGCCCGTAAGGAGTAAAGTGCTGGCCAAAGTGGTGACTCCATACGAGAGCAGGGATCGAACCCCTGAGATCTTTCATTTTTTAAATGCAAGGAAAGAGAGGTTTTATCAATTCTGGTAGATAAGCTCCCAGTAGTCAATTCTCATGGCTATCACTTCCTTGTTTTTCTTGAAAGAAAATCTAATCCCTTTTTCCAATTTTAATTGCCCCTCGTGAGAGCTCAAGCTGTGATGGTTAGTTTGATCTTCTAGTTGAACAACTCTCTGTTTTCCTGCTTATCTCTTGAAAATAGTGTCTTTCTTAGGAGCAGAAAATATCTCTGAATATATATATAAAAAGGGATTTTTGATCTTCTGGTGGCAAAGTTTCAGAGAAGTCTCTTCCTAGTTGCCTGGTTTTATCAACTCTTTATCAATTTAGTTGAAATTGTTGACTTTTCAAAGTTTATTTCAGATTAGTCACGTGGGCCTCTTCAGAAAAGAGCTGTTGATTTGTCCCTAGGCCTTTTGAGAGAAATGGTAGATTTTGTAGACTGGGCCCAATCTGATTTATAATCGCCATTTGACTTGACATTTTTTACTTTTCTGCCATTTTCTAAAAAAGATGTGGGTTGGGCTTGCTCCTGTTCTAATATTTGAAGCCCATTTTTCTATTCCTTTTGTTTCGTGGGCTTTTGAGAAGTGGGTCGGCGTGTATTTGCTTTTGACCCAAACAATAGCAAAACTGGTTTTTGTTGTTGTTGTTTTTTTTATTTTTTTTTTGTTTGTGTGAAAGAATTAGTTAAATATACTTGGTATACAAGTAAATATATAAATATTTTTATAACGTATGCGAGCAGGAAATTTGGAATATTTAAAAACCTAGTACGCTTCGTAGCTTATACGTATAAAAATACTCCTTCTTGACAAAGTTGCAGTTTGTACCAGCCATTAACGACCTTAGACTTTTACCTCCAATAAACTCAACCATCTTTGCAAAATCACTCACCTTCCCTCTACTCCCTTCTCCTCCATATAAATCCTTGACCCACATATACATACACCTCCACACGTGCACCAATCATTTACAGCTGCATATTCAACAAGAATACTAGAGGGTCTCTGCTCGCCATGGGTTGCTCTGCCTCCCTTCCAGGTAAATCCGCGTGCAAATTGGATCCGTTCGAGCTTTAAATTCTAGGGTTTACTGTTTCAATCGAAATTTTCATGTGGGTGCTGTTATTTTGGTCTGTTTCCTTGATTTCTAAGCTGAAAGAGATTGAATTGACTAGTGAGAATGGATTGTTTGTTTATTTAGGTTTTGGGTTTTCAATATTGCTTTGAACTGTGATTACCCTTTTGAGGTCTATTATTTTTCTTCTCGTTTTGAATTTTGATTGAATGGGGATTATTTGCTCAGATAGGAGTTCTTCTGGGCGGTTGGTCGGGCCAAATTCCGAAAACGGTGGCGCTTCTGATGCCAAAAATCTACGCGTGAAGGTATTTTATAGGCTAAATTGATGCAGTTAATGCTGTTACTGTCACTTATTTCAAGTTGGAAGGGTATGATGCTTGGTTAATTACTAATTTCTGATAATCTGAAAGTTATTGTTGGTGTGGAAAAATGCTAACTTGAGCTTTGTAAGTTAACAGATATGAGTAGTGTGTTTTGATACACCACTGATTTTCTGTATATACCTAAAACATGAGAGAAATGCATCCCCAACAACTTGCAATTGAGAAATATGGTCTAGACATTTATAGAAATGCATTAAGATATTGGCAGACTTATAAATTTTCTATGGAGTTTAGTCAAGCAAAGGACTGCAGTTAAAATAAAATAAGATGCATTTAGTGTTATGATTGAAAAAAGCTTCAAACTTCTGCTTTACAGTTTAAGAGGATTCTTCTTATTTTTGTTTGAAGAGAAAAGGACTCTTGAATAAATTGGTAAAAGAAATATTGTATTTAAGATGCTCATTATGATCTGCATAAAACATTTGACTGATTGCAACTAACATCTCGTTCTTGTCACTCTTCAGCTAGTTTTGTTGGGTGATTCTGGCGTTGGTAAAAGCTGTATTGTTCTGCGTTTTGTTCGTGGTCAGTTTGACCCCACATCCAAGGTAAGGAACATGTTACTGTTATATCATAGGTTAACCACAAGTGGTCTCATGATTTTTACTTTTGAGAGAATGTTTGGTTTATGTCCGTGTATTTGGGTTTCATTATCTAGCCTTTCTCTTAAGCTACATAGAAGTTATTATGATGATCATTTTCTCAAATGTGATGGATTTTTTTAAAAAAATTCAGGTGACAGTTGGAGCTTCATTCTTGTCACAGACGATAGCTTTGCAAGATTCTACAACCGTTAAATTTGAAATATGGGACACTGCTGGCCAAGAGAGGTATTTTTGCTGAACATGTATAGATATGTGAACACTAGTTTAAGACTTGTGTATAATGGTTTATGGTGAATTTCATCCTATTTTTTTGTTTACAAGGCATCCACCTTTGCCCTCTCCTTTACTTTTCCCTGGATACTTTCTCTTGCAATCTAATCCTTTTGCAGAAGAATATTGATTATTGATATATCCTATTTAGGTATGCTGCATTGGCCCCCCTTTACTATCGCGGTGCTGCAGTTGCAGTGATTGTATATGATATAACAAGTCCGGAATCTTTCAACAAAGCGCAGTATTGGGTTAAGGTATTTTTTCTGAAGGTCACAAAAACATTAACTACTTTTAAAAAAATATTTTATTTTAAAATTTTAGGTGTAAATTCTTTTTCTTTTATCCGTAGGTTCTTGTCTCCACATTTTGGCATGTAACAGGGTTGACGGAGGTCAAATAACTATTGAGTAATGTATGAGGTTACAAAATCGGTATCTAAGATTTTTTTACCCCATGGTTGAAGTGTTAGTTATATAGTCTACAGCCAAAATCTAAATTCTAGATAAATATGTAATCGTTATGACAGATTTTTACTTGGAATGTCAAATTTTTTGAGATTGTTATTCTGTAACTTATTATCACAGTAGCAAAAGTCATGGTTTTGTTTTGTACTATGTAACTTTTCTCTGTAAGACTTAAACCCTTAGGATAAGTTTTCTGTTGGCTGACTAAGAAGCTCTAAGGAAGATTTTTGTTGATGCTTAATGATCCGCTTGATATGTGGAAAAAAGTACTTAACGCATTAGAATTTCTACACTCTGGAGTAAGAACAGTTGACTGTATAGCACTAGCAGCTAATGGTTGGATGTTTGCATGTCAATGTGCATTGGGGAAGCTTTATTTTTATAGAATGTACAACTTTGCCTTGATAATCTGCCTTGATACGTGGATTTACCAAAGTGGATCTTTTGTTTAAACTACACCTATATTATTTTTAAGTTTTTAAGAACAATTGATAAATATTAGCTCTCCACAGGAGCTACAGAAACATGGGAGCCCTGATATTGTCTTGGCCTTGGTCGGTAACAAAGCTGATCTTCATGAGAAACGTGAAGTTCCTGTTCAAGTGAGTTCATTACCCCTCAATCTAATGCATCTTCTTTCCATGTATTTGCAAAATAGATATTTGTATGACTAAATAAATATTTCTTTTATTGGTGAAGGATGGCATTGAATATGCAGAAAAGAATGGAATGTTCTTTATTGAGACCTCTGCAAAGACAGCAGATAATATTAATCAGCTGTTTGAGGTAAGCCTAGTTACATTTATGTTTTGATAATAGGATTTTTCTGTTGTTGGCCATTCAAATGTTATGAAATTACCAGGCGAACTCGGTCTATACTTCAGATTACTACCCTTGTAAACCAGAAATGTTAAATGAAATTTTAAACCCTTAAGAGGATATTGCGGACTAGCACGTATGCTTCTCTTGACACGATGCCATCAAGGCTTAGAACATCTTAAATCTTCCATAAGTCCAAAGCTCATCTACTAGTTGAAATGCTGACACTGTCTTGTTTTGGCAGGAAATTGCCAAGCGGCTACCCCGTCCAGCCATTTCATCAACGCAGAATCCATGAAAGCCAATTAATTAAAGAACTTGTTCATGTTATGGAGACCTAGTTACATTTTTTCAGTTCTCAATTTGTGTATATTGTTAAATAGTCTGTAACTTTTGCTTTTCAATGGGCTTGGGTTTCAACCGATAGTTTCAGGTCGAAATTCATGATCATAATTGGCACCAAGCAATAACCTATAAGAGCATCTCCAGCGCAGGTCGGGCTAGGGGGGAAAGGCTGCCCGACGCAGCCCGAGTTCACTCCAGCGCAGGGCCCGTAGCCCAGTTTGGTGGCGGGTCCCACGAGCCCGAGGAAGCCCAAGGGCAAGTCTTGCCCCGGGTGAAGCCCGAGTTGGGGACG